TGGCACAAAACATGGAGTTTGCAGCACAAAACTAGAACTAAACCTTGGCACCTGTTTGGAGCCAATTGGACAAGGTTGGATTTTGGGGCATTAACTTATATCTCTGATTTGCTGTGTCAATTACTCGGTTTTGGGAGTGGCACAAAATGCCAGGTTCATGACACAAAACGGGACAAACTAGCACTAAAATTTGGCATCCATTTTGGAGGAGGGATCCAGAATTTTGGGGTCACACATTAATGAAGCTGCTATGGCACACACACACCGACTTAAACAACAACTCTATTTCAACTCTATGCGGAAATGAGGTTTAAAAACTGTTAGCCACACCCCTGAATTGTTTCAGTGACAGAACCAGGGTTGTGAAGCGTGGCCTTCAGGGTGGCAGAGGACAAACTGGAGCCAAAATTCTCAGAATGATTTAACAATCAATCCCTCTCTCTCAGCACCCGAACAAACTACATTTCCCATGATTCTTTGGGGGGTAGCCATGACTGTTTAAAGTGGTATGAAATCACTTTAGTGCTTTAATGTCAGGGACTGGTTGGACAGAGAGGAATGGTGGAAGGAACCAGCAGGGGACACCCCCCCCAAGGAAGAAGGCTAAGAGCCCTGGGTCTTGTTAGACAACAATGAGTGGTTCAAGCAAGCAGAGTGAGAAAACTGGGAAGAGGAGGTGTTGGAAGTTGAAGAGGTAACAGGGCTAAGTGAGCAGGGCGAGCCTGTGACAGATAGCAGTTGAGAATCAGAGGAAGAAGCTGAAGCAGGAGAGGAAAGAGGAGTCTGGCTGGTGAAGAGGCATGGGTGTCTCCCCCTCCTGCTGCAACAAGCTCTCCTCCCCCCCCCCCCCAGTCTCCCAGAACAAGAAGAGGGCAGGAGGCAAGAGGAGCAAAGACAGGCATGCAGGCACAGTCTCCAATTGCTTGGGGAAAACCCTGAAGAGGAGGGGATTTAGGCAGCCGCAGGGACCTTCAGTCTTGGCAACTGCTTCATGTGGGCAAGACCTGCCAGAGATGAGTTGCTGTACTCATTAGGCCTGACACTCCTGTGCAGATCCTGCTTTGGGGGTGATTTGTTTGCATGAATTACTGCTGGCTCGCTCCTGTCATTTAAACAGTTGCAGATTCACTCCTCGGCCAAGTTCAAGGTGTTACTACTATTAGAATATAAAGCCCTTAACAACTCAGGACCCATTTGCCTGCAAGATCACCTTACCCCATATATGCCACCTTGGACACTTCAATCTGCGGAACTGGCACCACTGCAGGTGCCACATAATACCAGTTCCACATTTGTAAGAAATCAGTCTTTCAGCATGGCAGCACTTCCACTTTGGAACTCCCTGCCTATTGACATCAAGCCAGCGCCTGATTTTCGGCAACTGCTAGAAAGCTTTTGTTTAGGCGAAGGCCACCCATAAAAAGCAGAGACATCACCTTGCCAACAAAGGTCCGTATAGTTAAAGCCATGGTTTTCCCAGTAGTGATGTATGGAAGTGAGAGCTGGACCATAAAGAAGGCTGATTGCCGAAGAATTGATGCTTTTGAATTATGGTGCTGGAGGAGACTCTTGAGAGTCCCATGGACTGCAAGAAGATCAAATCTATCCATTCTGAAGGAAATCAGCCCTGAGTGCTCACTGGAAGGACAGATCGTGAAGCTGAGGCTCCAGTACTTTGGCCACCTCATGAGAAGAGAAGACTCCCTGGAAAAGACCCTGATGTTGGGAAAGATTGAGGGCACAAGGAGACGGGGACGACAGAGGACGAGATGGTTGGATAGTGTTCTCGAAGCTACAAACATGAGTCTGACCAAACTGCGGGAGGCAGTGGAAGACAGGAGTGCCTGGCGTGCTCTGGTCCATGGGGTCACGAAGAGTCGGACACGACTAAACGACTGAACAACAACAACACCCATAAACATAGAATGCTGGTGTATCTTTCAATCTGCTTTTAGTTCAGATTCTCCCACCCAAAAAAAAAAAAAAAAATGCTTGAAAAACTTACTTTAACTGACATTACTGACAATTTCATTTTCTCTCTATGAGGTTTCTGTTGCTGTTTTTTACAGACAAGTGGCACGTAGATTTCATGAAATTATAAATAAATTAATGTATGGGATCGGTGTGGCCTTTCTCCCAAGACCCACCCTGGCTGTCAGTGATGCCTGGAGCCACCAGAATAATCCTGACATCTGCCAAAGGTCTTAAAAGTGAAACAAAACAACACCACCTCCCACCCACCCTATTGTCTTTAAGGCTATTCAGTGGTGCGCAAGGGGATTTTTGGCGGAGGAGGCGAGGAAGGGGACGCCAGCCAAACAACGTATGCCCACCAATACACATTGTGTTCTAATTTTAACACCTCGGAGCCATCCCTATCAGTCTTGTTGGCTCCAGCTCATAATATTCCAAAATCCAGGAAGCCATTCTGATTTTCTGAGACCAAAGGTTGCGGCCATTGTGGCTCCCTTCCTCTCTCTACGCTTCCAATCTGGAAATGTTCTAATTGCCATTGTGCATAATGTCACCTCCTTTAGATAACACCTCCCTGTGTTATTTCTGTCTCCGTTGATCAAAAATAACAGCAAAAAGAAAAGGAGGAGGAAGGGGGGTCACCAGAGCACAATTGACTTCTAGAAACAGGAGGTATTAGGAGCTGACTCATCAGTCAACGCAAGAGATCACAAACAGCCTGGGCTTTACTCTGCCTGAACAGCTGGGCTTTACTCCTGCAGCATTGATACCAGGGGTGCCAACTCCTGGGGGCCCAACCCTTTTGAGGGCGCAATGTTAAACAATCAGGGCCTAGTGCAGAGCCGAATGTGGTGTGGCTTCAGTGGCTGGCTCCTTCTTCTCCTAGTCCTGCCATGGAGTGGAAAGGTTGGGAGCCCCCTGCCAGTAATGTTAAAGGTAAGGGACCCCTGGGTGGTTAAGTCCAGTCAAAGGCGACTATGGGGTTGCGGCACTCATTTCGCTTTCAGGCCGAGGGAGCTGGCGTTTGTCCACAGACAGCTTTCCGGGTCATGTGGCCAGCATGGCTAAACCGCTTCTGGCGCAACAGAACACCGTGACGGAAATCAGAGCCCACGGAAACACCGTTTACCTTCCCACTGCAGTGATACCTTTTTATCTATTTGCACTGGCGTGCTTTCGAACTGCTAGGTTGGCAGGAGCTGGGGCAGAGCAACGGGAGCTCACTCCGTCACGGGGATTCGAACCACTGGCCTCCTGATCGGCAAGCTCAAGAGGATCAGTGGTTTAGACCACAGCGCCACCCACATCCTTTTACCTTTTACCCCTGCCACTGGCAGCAGCAGGAGCTACACTGCCGCCACACTCAGCTCCACTCCCTGGCTCCTCTGACATCCTGATGCAATGCTGGGATGTTGTGTGCATGATGCCATGTGTGACATCACTCACGTCATGCTGGCCCTCCCCCAATCTCCCTCACAAGATGGTGCCTCTGCTTGATACCAAGCTTGGAGCCAAATGTCAGGCTGGTTATTCCTTAGGAATCTGCCATAGACTGAGGTGGAGCATTTGTCCATCTGGATACATTGATTGGCAGCTGCCAGGCATTGAACTTGAGACCTTCTGCATGTAAAGCAGATGTTCTTCCAGTGAGCCCTTAAGATACAGGAACATAGGTGGCATGTACATGGCTCTCCTCATTTAACCCCCACAACATCCCTGTGAGATAGGTTAGGCTGAGAGAGGTGCTGACTGGCCCAAGGTCATACTCAGGGAGGTTCTTGCCTGAGTGGGGGCTTCAAATCCTCCCACGAGTGTGACACTCTAACCACTAAAGCGCACTGCCTCTATTCCCATCAAGAGAGAGATTAGATTGACCTTTAAAAACATTTCGTTAGCATGCAGGTGTGCAAACAAAGCTTCACATGTGGAATTCAGCGCTCAGCAGATTGCTCCAACCACCCCGGCATTTCTGACATGCTGGTTTTTCCACAGAGAATCGCGGGATATAGTTCCGTCGCACACCCCACCTTCACAGCTCCATGAGGTCTAGGCTGCACAATTTCACTCTCCGGGTGGATCAGACCTGTGCTGCGCTTAGCAAAGTGTCCTTCAGAGCGGAATCACAGCTGGCGAATAGATAGTTCAATAAACAGTTAATCGATGGTTATGGAGTCAAGGTATTTCTTGTAATCAAGCTTTAACAAGCCGCCTTCCAAGATCTTCTGCAGATGTTCTGGTAGCCAACTCTATAACACATGCTCTGTGGCTGCAGAACATCTGTGAATCATTTATTGATTCTGTATAAAAATGTTTATGAATAGACCATTAATAAAAACTATGACCCACAAATGTCTCTATCCCCAGTGACCTAAGCTAAACTTTCATGTGGATTTCTTTACTTTTAACTATACAGCATGCCAACATAATCAGCTGCCTGGCTGCAAGATCCCATTTTATTTATTTATTTATTTATTTATTTATCTATTTATTTATATCTCACCTTTGCCCTAGAACTGGAACTCAAGGCCATTCACAAATTTTTTAAAAAGCATGGATAAAAACACAGGTAGATAGAAACATGTAAAAGATTGTCGTAATTAAACAGCAATAGAATTAAAAAACTATACAGTGGTACCTCGGGTTAAGAACTTAATTCGTTCCGGAGGTCCGTTCTTAACCTGAAACTGTTCTTAACCTGAGACACCACTTTAGCTAGTGGGGCCTCCCGCTGCCGCCGTGCCGCCACCGCGCAATTTCTGTTCTCATCCTGAAGCAAAGTTCTTAACCCGAGGTACTATTTCTGGGTTAGCAGAGTCTGTAACCTGAAGCATCTGTAACCTGAAGCATCTGTAACCCGAGGTACCACGGTATAAGAAACAAATCTAATTAAATGCAGCCAGTCACAATTAAAAGCTTTCCTTTAAAAAAATTTGTTGGCAGAAGGGCAGCAAGGAGAGGCAGTACAATGTTAGACTAAGACCTGGGAGACCAGGCTTCAAATCTCCACTCAACTCTGAAGCTCACTAGCCTAGATAGTTTAGTCGGTTAGAGCGTGGTGCTGATAACCAAGGTTGCAGGTTCGATCCCCTATGGGACGACTGCATATTCCCTTATTGCAGGGGGTTGGACTAGATGATCCTCAGGGTCCCTTCTAACGACATTGCCTGTTCTTATGAATGTGACCTCAGGCCAGTCACTCATTCTCAGCCTAACCTACCTCACAGAGTTGCTGTGAGGATAAAATGGGGAGGAGAACAACGTATGCCAACATTTGCTCCTGGGAGGAAAAAGTTGGGATAAGAACATAACATAAGATCTTAAGAGGAATCCTGCTGGATCAGGGATATGGCCCATTTAGTCCAGCATCCTGTTCTCACAGTGGCCAATCAGATGCCTGCAGGAAACATGCAAGCAGGACCTGAGCACAAGAGTGATTCTCCCCTCCTGTGGCTTCCAGTGACTAGTATTCAAGAAGCATTACTTCCTCCATCTGTGGAGCCAGGGCACAGCCGTTATGGCTAGTAGCTATTGCAAGTTCTCTCCTCCATGAATCTGTCCAATCCTCTTCTGAAGCCATCCAGGCATGTGACCATCAGTGCCCTCCTGCAGAAGGGAGTTCCACAGTTTAATAATAATAATAATAATAATAATAATAATAATTTATTTATACCCTGCCCATCTGGCTGGGCTTCCCCAGCCACTCTGGGCGGCTTCCAACAAAATATTAAAATACAGTAATGCATCAAACATTAAAAGCTTCCCTAAACAGGGCTGCCTTCAGATGTCTTTTAAAAGTCTGGTAGTTGTTGTTCTCTTTGACATCTGGTGGGAGGGTGTTCCACAGGGCAGGTGCCACTATCGAGAAGGCCCTCTGCCTGGTTCCCTGTAACTTGGCTTCTCGCAGGGAGGGAACCGCCAGAAGGCCCCTGGAGCTGGACCTCAGTGTTTGGGCTGAACAATGGGGGTGGAGATCTCCTTCAGATATACTGGACCGAGACCATTTAGGGCTTTAAAGGTCAGCACCAACACTTTGAATTGTGCTCGGAAACGTACTGGGAGTTTGAACTAAGGACTGTGTGAAAAAGTCCTTTCTTTTATATGTCCTGCAACACCCAGCTTCACTGATGTCCACAAGTTCTGGCGTTATGAGAGACGGAGAGAAACTTTGCGTCATCTGCTTTCTCCATGCCAGACATAATGCGCTTAAGGTTTAACCTGTCGCTTCTTCCTCGCCTTTTCTCCAAACTAAAAAGTCCCAAAGACTGCATCCTTTCTTCATAGGCGGATTGCTCCATCCCCTTTCCTGAACCTTCCTTGGTGTAGATGTCATTTGAAGTCCTTACATTTCCCCCTTCTTCTTCCCTGTTTAATCGCAGCATGATCACACCTCCACGTTCCCCCCCCTCCCGACCTTCCTAATGAAACTCTAGCCAGGCCTTGCTCGAATTAAGGACCCAAGTAAACAGTACTTAACGGTTCTAATTGAAGGTCAGTAAATCCCCAAGAGATTAAACGGGTCCTGCAGGGAGATGTGTAAATCTCCTTGCCTTTTACGGCGCCCGGGCCAAACCGCTCGCTCTTGCTCGTGCAAGACTTAATAAACGTGGTATGTGCCTTAATCAAAACCATTTTGCCACGGAAAGGGGGCTGGGTGTAAATCACAATTGCTTTTGGCACTAAACCGCGGTGTGCATGCCCTCCCCACCCCGCCGCCTCCAAAAAACCAGAAAAGGTCTGTTTATGCCAACGGACATCATAGAACTCTTTCCCGGTGCCTAGTTAGCTGTCTGGCAGGCGTATCGCGCTCGAGGTCTCAGAAATGCCCATTTTGTTGCTCTGCGGGGGGAAATCGAGATGAAGGGAAATAAAACACTTCAGATGGCGAGGGAGGCAGCGAGGTTTCCCCCTCCGCCCGGCCGCCTCTGCCAGCTCTCGCTCCAATTTAGTGATTATTAATAAGACCGAGCACTGGGCTCTGGCACCAAGCTAACTCCTTTTGCTGTTAGCCCTTGTATGTTTAATAATCTCATCAAAGTTTATGTCCTGAGCAGTATTTCAAGGCTTTAATGGCGACAGAATGCAGAGGGAGACTCGGAGGGAGCTGGGGGGGGGGCGAGGGCTGGAACTCCTTTGAAGACTTCGGGTTTACATTTTGGGACGTCAAATTGAAAGTGGGCCATGTCAGGCAGACGGAGACAGTCACCTTTGACCTTTCACCTGTGCATGCCTCTGCTGCGACATGCGGCTTCCACTGGCGCTAGCTTCAGAAATCTCTCTGCCACCCACCCCCACCTGAACACGGTGAGGAGGAACGGTCCAAAATCTGGAAAGTATTCTGATCAGTTTTGCAAACTAATTTTTTCCCCTCTTCAAAGTCCGTTTGAACCAGGCCTGGTGCCATACTCCAGAGCCTGAAATCAGTGCCTCTGCAACACATAGAATCATGGAAGAGTAGAATTGGAAGGGTTCCCCAGGTGTAATCTAGTCCAGCCCCCTGCAATGCAGGAATCACAGCTAAAGAAGCACTGACAGGTGGGCACCCAAACTCTATTTTAAAAAGGTAAAGGACCCCTGACCGTAAAGTCCAGTTGCGAACAACTCTGGGGTTGTGGCACTCATCTTGCTTTACTGGCCGTGGGAGCCAATATTCGTCCGCAGACAGTTTTTCCGGGTCATATGGCCAGCATGACTAAGCTGCTTCTGGTGAAACCAGAGCAGCACACAGAAACGCCGTTTACCTTCCCGCCAGAGTGGTACCTACTTATCTACTTGCACTTTGACGTGCTTTCGAACTGCTAGGTTGGCAGGAGCTGGAACTGAGCAACGGGAGTTCATCCCGTCATGGGTATTCGAACCACCAACCTTCCGATCAGCAAGCCCTAGGCTCTGTGGTTTAGACCACAGCGCCACCCGTGTCTGTTTAGAAACTTCCAATAAAGGAGAGTCCACCACCATCCAACGTAGCCCCTTCCACTATCGAACAGCTCTTACCATCATAAAGTTCTTCCTAATGATTAGCCACAATCTACTTCAACACTAACAGAATTAACCCTTAAGTTACAAATGGAATGATCCCTACTGTTGGGCCAACTGCCTTGCTATGTAGATCAATTTGATCTGCACCTCCTTTAGGGGCCGACCAAATGCCATCTGGCTAAATTACTGGAAAGCCGCCCTCCCACTGGGAGCCAAGTGGTCTCGGTGGAGTTGAATACCTAGTTTTGTTTTGGCCTCCAAAAAAAAAAACAACACACCCCGCAACCTGTGTAATGTTGCAATGCAATCCCTAGGTTGTCAGTTCCTGTAAAGGCTCTCCACTGGAGACCAACAGTGCAGAAAGCACTGGGAGAACCTGCCGCCGAAGCAAGGTTTTTACCAACCCTCTCTCAGCGTTTCATGCCGGCTTCACAATGGTCTCAGTGGCTTTTCCACTCCTCCAGTGGCTTCTAGCTTTCCTGGTTGTGACATCTCCTCTGATGCGCTCAGACAGAGGGAATATGCACCAAGACGATTGCAGCTCCGCGCTCGGGAGATGTCACCTCCTATTGACATCAGGCCGCGGTGCAGCAATTAAGGGTGCAGCTGACTCTCCCTGATCTGGCTCCGGGCATGCTGGGGTGGGGGAGGACAGGGGAAAGGGGGTGGGTGATGGAGGAGAGTGGAGAGAAGAAGCCAAAGTGAAAAGGAAGAGGAGCAATAATGGAGGATGATCATGATACAGAATATAGGCAGCTGCCTGATAGGAACGGAATCAGACCAGTGTATTGTCTGCGCTGATGTTCAGCGGCTCTCTGTGGATACATAAAAACCTAAGAGGAGGCTGCTGGATCAGGCCAATGGCCCATCTAGTCCAGCATCCCATTCTCAGTGTGGCCAATCAAATGCCTGTAGGAAACCCACAAACAGGGTCCAACCACAATAGGTCCACGGGCCATTGCGTCATGGGCGGTGGTTAAGCTTTTGGTTTGTTTCTGTCTTATTACGCATTTTGTGTTCTCGTTTTGTATTTCTATGTTGTTAACTCCCCTGTGATCTTCGGGTGGAGGGAACTATACGAATTTAATAAATGGCAATGATAATAACAGTCCCTCAAGGCATAAGTGTTTCACCCTGGCCTTTGCCCCGACCTGATTCGAATCCCTGTTTCTATCACTTTTCAGGTCTGTCTATCGCTCCCTTCCTGTCAGGTATTGTAATGAGGCTGCCTGAAGTTTACACACACACACACACACACACACACACACACACATCCAGTGCTCTTTTTCTAGGAAAAAAAGGTGCCAGAACTTACCATGTTTTCTTATACAGTGGTACCTCGAGTTAAGAACTTAATTCGTTCTGGAGGTCCGTTCTTAACCTGAAACTGTTCTTTACCTGAGGTATCACTTTAGCTAATGGGGCCTCCCGCTGCCACCGCCGCACGATTTCTGTTCTCATCCTGAAGGAAAGTTCTTAACCTGAGGTACTATTTCTGGGTTAGCGGAGTCTGTAACCTGAAGCATCTGTAACCTGAAGCGTCTGTAACTTGAGGTACCACTGTAATGGCAATGGCACCCACATGAGAAGCATCAGAACTGAGTTCCGGAGAGTTCCGACTGAAAAAGGATCCCTCCGTGTATCCAACTCCATCCCTACCTCCTGAAGCTGGGCTGTTTGACCAAACTGATGCTCTCTGGTGGACATCAATACCCTTCATTCTGGGAACTCTGAGAAATCCTATCAGCGCCATCTCCCTCAAGGAGACACCCAGGCCTCAGGGCCAGGGGGTGGGGGGAAATGTGAAGAGATAAGAGGATTTGGCACCTTTCTCCAGAGGCTTGCGATGGCAGATGAATTCTCTCACTTCCTGCTTCAGGGCAAAACTTGGGGGATGGAGGTAGTGTGATGTTAATATGGACCTTGGAGGCAGGCAGGGAGCCTGTCAAACAACCACGGGTGCAGGACTAGGCTGGAGGCAAACCCAGCATGCAATGCAAGGGCAAAGGATGTATCAATGAAGTTACACACACAGGGAGGGAGAAGATGAGAAATTTAAAAAGGACTGAGGCTCACTGGTAGAGCATCTGCTTTGAATGCAGAAGGCCCCAGGTTTAATCCCTGCAGTCCCCAGGTAAAGGTAAAGGTACCGCTGATCATTCGGTCCTGTCGCAGACGACTCTGGTGTTGCGCGCTCATCTCGCTCTATAAGCCGAGGGAGCTGCGTTTGTCCGCAGACAGCTTCCGGGTCATGTGGCCAGCATGACTAAGCCGCTTCTGGTGAACCAGAGCAGCACACAGAAACGCCGTTTACCTTCCTGCCGGAGCAGTACCTATTTATCTACTTGCACTTTGACATGCTTTCGAACTGCTAGGTAGGCAGGAGCTGGGACCGAGCAATGGAAGCTAACCCCTTTGCGGGGATTCGAACAGCCGACCTCCTGATCGGCATGCCCTAGGCTCTCTGGTTTAGACCACAGCACCACCCGCGCATAGCTGCCAACTTTCAGATTTGAAAATAAGGGATTAGCAGCCTCGAAAATAAGGGATCAGCAACCTCACCTGTCCCGGGGACAGTCTACGGGATATCTAACTATCTGGGATAGCAATGGGAAGCAGCCAGAAATGGCGCTGGAATAAGGGAATTTCCTGCAAAAAAAGGGAAGGTTGACAGCTATGCACCCACGTCCCTGCAGTCCCCAGGTAGTGATATGGAAATGATTTAAATTGTTTCTTTTCAACTTGTTTTCATTATATTTTGTACATCGTAGAATCGCAAAATTATAGAGTTGGAAGGTAACCAAGGGTTATTTAGTCCCACCTTCTGTAATGCGGAAATCGCATGGCTAAAGGAAACCTGACAGATGATCATCCAACCCCTGTTTAAAGGAGTCCACCACCATCTGTTCCACTGTCAAACAGCTCTTACCATTAGAAAGTTCTTCCTAATGTTTCATTGGAATCTCCTTTCTTGTGCTGTTGAATCCATTGGCTCAGCTCCTACTCTCTGGAGCAGCGAAAAACATGCTTGCTCCATTTTCCATGTGACAACCCTTCCGATATTTGAAGACATCTTTCATATTACCTCTCAGTCTTCTCTTCTCTAAGTTAAACATTCCCAACTCCCTCAACCCTTTCTCATAAAGCTTGGTCTCCAAAACCCTTTATCATCTTGGTCGGCCTCCTCCACATGTGTTCCAGTTTGTCAATATCCGTCTTAAACTGGGGCGCCCAGAACTGGACACAGAACCCCAGATGGTGTTCTTTCATTCTATTCTGACCAAGGCAGAAGAAAGTGATACCATTACTTCCCTTGATCTGGACATTAGACTTCTGTTGATGCAGCCTAGAATCACATCATAAGAATGGAAGAAAAGTTCTGCTGAATCAGGCCAGCAACCCACCTAGTCCAGCATCCTGTTCTCACAGCGGCCAACCAGGTGGCCCCTACAGGAAACCCTCCAGCAGGTTCTGAGCACAAGATACTCTCCCCTCCTGTGGTTTCCAGCAACTGGTACTTGTGGAAAGAAGGGAGACCAGGCTAGGAAGTTATCCACCTGATTTACGTCACCTTTTGAAACACTCCTATGAAGAAAGGTTGCCGTACTTGGGGCTACTTGGTTTACAGACAAGGGCAAGTAAGAGGCAACATGATAGAATTGTATAAAATTATGCATTGACTAAAGAAAGTGGTTAGAGAAAAGTCCCCCCTCCTTCTTGCAGTATGCTAGAACCTGAGGAAGCTGAATGTCAGGAGAATACGGACATTCTTCACACATTACATAGTTCAACAGTAGCATTTGCTCCCACAATAAAAGCCTGGTAGGGTCTGTCTGTCTATATCTATCTATCATCTATCTATCTATCTATCATCTATCTATATATCATCTAACTATATTAGTAGTAGTAGTAGTAGTAGTAGTAGTAGTAGTAGTATTAGGGTTGCCTTTTCTTGAAGAGCAAAAAAGAGGACAGTCCGAGCCACTCCCAGTCTGCGTTGGGAAAAGAGGGGTGCAGGCCAATGTGCCTCTTTACCCACCTTGGACTGGCAGCAGTCGTGACATGCAAAGCAGCCCAAATCTGAGCCACCCAAGCTCAACCCACCCACCCCCAACCCAGACATTTCCTTTAAAATGTAAAAATCCACCCAGGTGGGCATGTTGACCCCCAAAAAGAGGACGTGTCCTGGTTTTCCCAGACATATGGCAACCCTGATTTATACATGCCTGCTCCTCTTCCACAAGGAGTCCAGGGTGACAAACTGGTAGACAACTTAAAAAACAAAAACATTCTAAAACAGACTAAAATATTCCCCCAAAAAACCCTATTACAATTAAAAATGTCCTAAAAACAACGACTACAATCATAGAATTGTAGAGTTAGGAATGTAGGGATCTTTAAAAGGGTACAGTGGTACCTCGGGTTAAGTACTTAATTCGTTCTGGAGGTCTGTTCTTAACCTGAAACTGTTCTTAACCTGAAGCACCACTTTAGCTAATGGGGCTTCCCGCTGCCGCTGTGCCAGCGGAGCACGATTTCTGTTCTCATCCTGAAGCAAAGTTCTTAACCTGAGGTAATATTTCTGGGTTAGTGGAGTCTGTAACCTGAAGCGCATGTAACCTGAAGCGTCTGTAACCCGAGGTACCACTGTACTTCCATGGAATGGCCTTGAGGCTGCCAAGAACAGTATTATTCAGCCCTCCAAGACTAGTTGTTAGAAACCACAGGAGGGGAGAGGTGCTCCTGTGTTGGGTCCTGCAGGTGTGTGGTTGGCCACTAGGAGAACAGGATGCTGGACTAGATGAGTCTTTGGCCTGATCCAGCAGGCTCCTGTTGTGTTCTTCTGTCAGGGGTTTCCTGAGTCAACAACTCAGCATTTGTCCCCGTAGATATCAAAGCCCAGATTTCTTGGCCCCCAGGATGCTATTAACAAGAGGAACAGGTATGAAAAATTGGAGAGAGAGAGAGAGAGAGAGAGAGAGAGAGAGAGAAGTTGTGCTCAAAGAAATGTTACTATATATATATTTAAGGCAATCAATCCTTAATTGTTACAGTAAATACCCAGGCAGCTTCGAGGACAGTTTGTAATAAGCAAACAGAACAGAAGGAAGCAAAGCAGTGATGCCAGGTGCTATGTTTGGAATGGAGAGATGCCATATCACGTTACAGAGTACAGTGGCTAAACGGCATTCTCCTGGTTTGAATCCCACATCTTTCATAAATACACTAGGTAGCCTTGGGCAATGCATTCTCTTCCAGCCATAGCTTCCTATCTGCATAATGGGTATAATCATGCATAACTTGCAATGGTTGTTGCAAAGGTAGGAGCTTCCAACATTTTTTTTGGCCCATGGGCATATCTGGATATTTTCAAATGAGCGCCTTTCCCTTTGGTCACTTCTCACTTCTTCACACACAGATCAAGACAGAAGAAGAGAAAGTGTACACAGTCACATTTCACTTTTCTAAGTGGTCAAAGGTTGAACCTAGCAGAATTAATCTGAGCCTTGGAAAGCACATAGAGCTGGAAGAGGAAGTGGGGGGAAAGGTCGCTCTTTCAACTTCCTCCTCCAACTCTATGGGTGATATCTAACTGCATCAGAGTCAACTTATTGAAATCAATGGCCATTTCAATAGGTGATTTCAATAGGTCTGCTCTGAGTATGACTTAGACACAGCCCACTATGCTGTTCTGGTGAATGAAAAAGGTACTCACCCTCACCGCCTCACAGTCAGGAGGAATGGTGGATTTGGGGCAGGATGCCCAGAGGCTTAGCAGATGCCAGGAGGAGACCCCAGGGATTTCCACAGGTGCTTTGTTGGTGACCTCTACACAGTGCCGGATGTATGTATAAGCTAAACAAGCTATAGCTTAGGGCCCCACTCTCTTGGGGGGCCAAAAAAAATTTAAAGGGGAAAAAACTGGATGTACCTTTCCAAAATATAAGATAAAAAACAAATAAAATAAAACCTACATACAGCAACAGTGTTTTGTGTTGTATAGGCTCCTATGATGTAAGTAATGGGCCTTGCCTGCTAGCCTGCCCCCTAAAATATCACTGATTTGTTTGTTTCTAGATATAGGGTGCCTACATTCTGCATGGACTGGTTGCATTGCAACATGTACAAATGGCTTTAGATACCTGTTAGGTCCATAAATTACCATATAGCATATATTCAACACAAAAAACAGCTACAATTTGTTGTTGACAAAGGACAGCTAGACATATAAAGGGCCCCATTACCTTCAGTAGCTTAGAGCCTCATCAAACCTAAATCTGGCCCTGCCTCTACAATGTAAGGATTGTAACATAACCAAATGAAATAAATATTCACACATGCCTGCAATGCTATGGAGCAATGCTTCGGTCTCAGCCAGGGATATGGTGGGAGAAATTCAATTCAGTTCCCTTTTAAAGGCAAATCCTCATAATTCACACTTTCTGAAACAAGAAGTGAACTGAAGCCTTCCTTCATCCTTCGAAATTCTCAAAATGTTGCAATGAGGGTCTGTGGCCAAGCCGTGTGTGCAGAAATTCAGATACTGGGGCAAAGCGTGCATAAGAATGCATATACCAACCCACAAAAATGCAAATTAGGCAATAATTGTAGACAAAAATATGTGTGTTAGGAGAAATTTGCACTACAATGCTGCTGAATTTTCGTGAGGTTTATTTGTTTATATTTTAAATGTGGGAATGTGGACATCTGAACTGGAGATTGGGGAGCGAGGAGAGAAACAGAGAAACTGAAACTGACAGGCTGCAGTTGACATCCTGGACTGAAACTGACATCCCTAGCCTCGGACATGGTGTTCCTAAGTATGTTGGCTCTTGAGACTTGCCAGGCAAAGCTTTGTTTAGGCAAAAGTGACACCCTCTTCTCCCTTCCCTCCTCCCATGAAAGCACCGTTTCCTCCTGCAGACAGAAGACCAGACACAAAAGGCGGCAGAAATCAAATAAAAGGAAAATGCAGCAGCCACAGGTCAGGCTTGTATAAATATTTATGCTGGAGGAAGACATGGTGCCTGAGTAATGACCTTGTGGCTGGTATTAATAGAGATAATGTGGAGCTGGGAGACTCGTTGCCAGAAAGAGGGTGAGAGATAGGAAGGTTTTAAGGCTCTGGGCAGGGCAGCACTTCTGTTTGATCTTTGGTTGGTGTTTTTATTTATGCATCCAAATTCCTGCCCTGCCCTGTTCCCATAAGAGCGGAGTAGGCAGGCGGATGGGCCAATAGCTCAGTGACAGAGTGCCTTCTTTGCATGCAAAAAGGTCCCAGGTTTAATCCCTACCACCTCCAGGTAGGACTTAGAAAGGTTCCCTGCCTAAAAACCCCAGGAGAGCTGCTGCTGTAGAAAATCTTGAGCTAGATGGACCAGTGGTCTGACACGACAATGATTAAGAGAAGTCAGAAGCAGCCTCACTAGATAACCTGTGGAACTCACTGCCACAGGAGGCAGTGACAGCAGCCAACTTGGATGGCTTTAAAGGAGGATTAAACAAATTTATAGGGGAGAAGGATATCAGTGGCTACTAGCCACCGTGGCCGTGCTCTGCCTCCACAGCTGAATACCAGTTGCTGGAAACCACCGGAGGGGAAAGGCCTGGGGGGCCTGCTTGTGGGTTTGTCACATGCGTCTGGTGGTGAGCATAACCAGGGCATAGCCAATCAAGCAAATAAATAAATGGGCGTAGCCAATCAAGTAAATAAATACTTAACTAAAAGTAGAAATAATCAGAATACTTGAAATTGAAATGTGCGCTGAGGTCACTTATGATGTTGTGGCACATTCTAGCGATGCAACTGGCAACCCGACTGAGTGATAGGCGTGGCTTCTGCGAACTGACCAATTGCGTCACAGGTAGCTCGGTTCTGGAACAGGATAGGAAGGTGTCCTGCCTCCTCCGATAAATTCTGGCTACACCCATGCACCTGGTTGGTCACAGTGAAAACAGGATGCTGGACTAAATGGACCATTGGCCTAATCCAGCAAGGCTCTTATTGTGTTCTTGCATTCTTTCACACAAACATCCACTGCTGGTTAACTTTCTCCATTTCAGCAGCCTAAATCAGGCAGAAGAGGTCAGCTGAAAGTCAGGAATCCTTGCTAATCTACTGGAAATCGTCCAGTGATTAATAAGTAGATCTACCTTCGCGCTCACCCCTGCTCACTGTGGAATTCTCTGCAATGCAAATAAGATCCCAAAGCATGCATGAAAAGGTTCCCAATCAGATCAGTCAAAAAGGTTCTTTGAAGGAAGAAAACCTGAAAAAATGATGCCTTGGATTAAAATGGGGGGGGGGGGAATTATGGATAATTCATGAAGATAAATAAGAACTAAAACCAGTGGATGATTTGGTGTGTGATAGCGATCATTCCCTTTCAGCTACTGCAAATGGTGTGGTTTACTGCCTCTTAATTTGCAGCTGAAGTCATCCCATCTTCTGTTTATAATGGGCACCAACAATTTAGGTAACTTATTCCGTATAATGGCTTTATTTTATTCGCTGCTTTTCTGCTGAATGAAAGCAGCAGAAAATAAAAGTCCTCCACGCGAAAATCACAGTGAAAGCTGAATAAATGGCTATTCCACAGCAATAAAAACCCAAATCTGAAATTAAATCCCAATTTCTTCATTCTTAAAGCAGCAGCAAAATTCTAAAGCAGCGGTGGTGAACCACAGGCCTGGGGGTGCAATGTGGCCCTCCATACCTCTCTACCTGGCCCTCAGGACTCTCTGCCTTCCAAATCCCCAACCACACCCTCTATCTGCCCCCCAATTAATCTTTTTACACAGTTTCTTCGCAGACCCTCCAAGTTTCCCCATTTTCCAGGGACAGTCCTGGATATACAGAAGCTGTCCCGGTTTCTGATTTGATCCCAGAATGTCCCCTTTTTCCTTAGGATGCCCCTATTTTCATCGAACAAAAGTTGGAGGGGATGTCCCTGTTTTCACCAGAGAAACGGAGGGCATGGAATAGGACATCCCTATTTTCAATGGAGAAATGTTGGAGGGTATGTCTTCAGGCACTTTTCTCTGGTTCAGATGTGTCTCTGAACTCTGACTCTCCTTCTTGCTTGTCCAGAAGGATAGAGAGATGGTGAGTGGGTGTCTATAGAAACCAGCTTCCTGTACAAAGGTAAAATTCCTCTCAGTTGCTCCACCTCCTTTTGCCTCTGGCTCCGCCCACCACCAGCACAACTCTAGCCCTGTGAGGGGGTCTCTTGAGAACTCTCAGCAATCTTAACAAACCACACTTCCCAGGGTTCTTTGGGAGAAAGCCAATGCTGCTTTCAATGTACAGCGTGGGTAGAGCCTTAGGTTGTTTCTGCCTGCCATTGGGCTTTGCCTGCCATTGGACTTTTGGCTCTGCCTGCTGCCAGCCTCCCTGCTTCCCACCCTACCCGCCTCAAGAACGGTTTAACAATCAATCCATCTTCCCAGGGAACTATGGGAATTGTAGTTCTGGGAGGGGATAAGGGCTCTCCTAGCAACACTTGGCACTCTTGACAAACCACACTTCCCAGGATTCTTTGGGGGGAAGCCATGACTGCTCAAAGCAGCTTTAAATACATAGCGCAGATGAGGCCTGCATGTGGAGCCCACAAGAGGTTTTCCAGTTGGCAAATGTGCCCAAATGGGCCCTGCAAAAAGGTTTCCTGAACCCCTGTAAATAAATGGCAGGTGATCCATGCTGCCTCTGTTTCCATCGTGTTGGAAGGCAGGTGTTTGCCCAAACACGATTTTCCAAATTTTATCTTATTCTCCTTTTCTTGTTTCCTCACAATTTCTGAACACTGCAGTCTGTCCAGAGCGAAGCTGAAAGCCCACCCCACCCTCCTCTGATGTATGCATTTGCCCCCACCTGATTCCCCAGCTCAGACCCTTTTCTCCTCTTCTGTTTTTTCTTTCTTCTTTCTCCAGAGCGAAACCAGGAGAGGACCTGCCACTCTTGATCTGTGAGAAGGAGGATCCCGGAGATGAAAGCGTCCAGTAAGCCCTGTGATTGCCTCCATAATGGACCACACGCGAGAAATTAAATAAACATCATTCATCACTGCCCTTTGTCGGCTTCCAGCTGTATTTATTTCCAAGCCGGGGCCTGTTATTTATGGGCCTGTGCTCTTTATGGAAAAGCTTTGTTGAGAAGTGGCGCTGACGTGAGAGGGGCGGCGGACGGGGGACTTGAGCGGCTCATCGCTTGAACCAGTGCTCTGCCCTCCCGCCTGGAGTGAGTTGTGGCTCTCCTGCTTACCACTGTGCCATCAGCTCTGGAAAGAGTGAGCTAGCCAAAGGTATTGGAGCATGTGGGCGCCATTCTGAAGGATAACTGAGGCAGGAGGGGCAGGAGGAACAGCTATCAAGAAGCAGCAGCAATGCCTGTGGAGCCCTCAGGTCTTTAGGGGCCAGTTTGTGGAGTGGGGAGGGGTAGCCTCGCCGGCTCAGTGGCAGAGCATCTGTATGGAACCCAGAAGGTCCCAGGTTCAACCCCAGCATCTCCAGGAAGGACCGGGTGATGCTCCTGGTTGGAAACCATGGGGAGCTGCTCGGTGCCGCTCGGTGTAGACTATACTGAGCAAGATGGACCAGTGTTCTAAACTGGTATAAAGCAGCTTCCTATGTAACCTGTGTAAGTGGGGTCCACCAGGCATGTGGCCCATCCCAGAAAGACATAAATAGAGCCTATTGGATCAGGTCAATGGCCCACTGAGTCCAGCATCGTGTTCTCACAGTAGACAACCAAATGCCTGTAGGAAACCACACACACTATATCTATATATCTAGATCGAGATCTATAGATATACACACACACACACACACACACACAATTTTTACAAATATATTTTGCATTAAAATATAGTCAATTTTATACATATATAGGATTCTCTGAATCCTTGTACTTCCCTCCACCCCCACCCCCCATGGTTACCATATTACTTCATTTTATACTGCATCTTATATAATATTACCCAAATTTATATTCAAATTTCCATTTATAACCATTGAATTATTACATTACAAGTGTTATATTAATCCTGCTAATGTTTTTAACTGTACAGTGTCCTTTAAGATAATCTATCTATCTCTCTCTCTCTCTCTCTCTCTCTCTCTCTCTCTCTCTCTCTATATATATATATATATATATATTTAAAAATCCATTCTTTATTAAATTTCTTATCTTCTTGGTTTCTGATTCTCCCTGTCAATTTTGCCATTTCAGCATAGTCCACCATCTTGATTATCTGTTCTTCTCTGGTTGGAACTTTGTCTTCCTTCCATCTCTGGGCGAAAAGCATCCTTGCAGCTGTCAAGCAGGACCCCAGCACAAGAGCCTTCTCCTCTCCACCAACTGGTATTCAGAAGCATTGCTGCCTCTGACTATGGAGACAGAACAGAGCCATCATAGTCAGTAGCCATTGAGAGTCTTATTTATCCTCTATCCACTTCCTTATTGAGAATGCCTGCCGGAAGGAGAAAACGAGATGCAAAGAGCCAGAAGATCATTATTGGGACTCACAATTCCTCTAAAACAAAGAATCGGCAGAGAGCCAACGCCATCTTCCCTGGCTCAGAAACAGAACAGGTTGAGGAAGCCAAGAAAACGGAGCAAATAGAACAAGCAGTGAGTAACAACGTTGGGGGAACCTTACCCCACCTTAAGGATGATGACAATGACCCGACCCCCCTCCTCCCAGAAAAAGCTAATCCATCCAAGAGGGCAAGAGCAGGAGCAGGAGGGATTCCTCCCACTTCTAGCACTGACCCACCCATGCCTCTAGAACAAGATATCAGAGGAGCCTACTTTCAACCGATTCCGGATACGCACCCCTACCAAGAGATTTGCATGTTGTCTGCAGAAACTATGGTTCTGGTTCTCCAAAGACTGAATGAAATCCTCACCAAAATAGTTAACATTGAGAAACAATTGGATACTAGCTCCTCCCCTTTAAATACCCAAGGGCTTAAAAGGATGATAAGAAATGACTTTGTTAACAACTCACCAACTCAATCTCTGGATGAAGTGAGGTCCTGTCAAGTCTTGCAAATGAACCAGATAATGCTTGAGATTCACCGATACACTCATAGGTGGATGAACCGCAGACAAATTACTATGTCCTTGTCTCAGCTCCTGAATTACCATTACCGAAATGTAGATCTAGAAAATTTCCACTTCCTGCCTACCGTGAGAAACACAACGCGCCTATTTATGACCTTTAGGTCATCAGCCCTCCCATCTCGACTCATGGAGATAAAGGATACTCTATGGTGGTTCCACTCTCTCCGCCTAGTGAGGGTATTTAAGGACGAAACAAGGAGACAATTGGTCCCTTGCACAGAGTCAAAGCTAATGCGGATAAGGGAAACCAAGCTCAACACTAGAAACACTAATTGCCCAAAGGAAAAAAAGAACTCTGTAAGCCTAGAATTACAAGACCTGAAGAAGAGGCTAGTGAGTATAAAGACTGGGATTTCTACCCAAAATATAAGGACAGTAGAGCCTAGGGCACAATATTTAAAGATGCCCAACAGCTCTTTATCCCGTAGAAAGACATCAGTGCAACTCCCTGTTCCCTTTTCAAACGACACCGAATTAGATGAGGAATTTGGCACCTCTGACATTTCTATGGCAACAACACCTAAAGAACTCTATGTTGCTGACAATCTGGAGATATCCAGCACCAAATCTACATCTGGACCTTTGCCTAATGTTCCAAAAACTTATCAGAATGATCAACCTTCTCTACTGTACTCCTGGCGAGACAGGATGGACAGATCTTCCGAAGCTGGCTCTTTGTTGGCCAGTGATCCACATTTTATAGCACATACCTCATTAATACTCCCACAGCCACAGATAGAACCAACAATCCTCCAATCAACCCAGGAGGGAGAGGGGGATTGACAGTTAACGAAACACCATGGGACTGTCCTCCCCGCTTGGGGTACGGTTGGTTGGGTTCTATCTTCTAGGGATACTTACCCTATCAAACCTCCACCTCTTCCCCATACCATTTTGACCCAGGAGTCCTGGCCCAAGGATGACTTGTTATTGAGGGGATGTTACCCCTCTAATGGGGAGGCTAGTATGGGGTCTGGGATTTCCACTATTGAAGGGCTAGGGAGGAATGGCGGTGGGGCTAGATATCTCTATTGGCGAAGGGCTTCGAGATGCAGTGATCCTCGAACCCCTTTCAATCTACGCCCCATCCCAAGGGATGAGGGTAGGGCGAGCAAGGATTACCCACCTTCGTCATTGGTGCTGTGCAATGCCAGGTCCATAGGCAACAAAACCGCCACAATGCGTGACTTTTTTGTCTCGCAGAGGATTGACCTGGCTTGCGTGACGGAGACCTGGGTACGGGAAGGCGAAGTAGTCTCCCTACATGAGATAACACCCCCAGGTTTCTCTGTCCTCCATCAATCACGGACTGTGGGTCGGGGGGGGAGTAGCGCTGTTAATGCGGGAGGATTGCTCTTTCAGAGCTCTGCCATCACCGGCGATCTCTGGCATTGAATGTGTTGGTCTCGTGTGGGTCACCAAGGAGAGCTTGGCTGTCTGGCTGGTGTACCGACCACCCAGCACACTGGCAGCCACCCTGTCAGACCTGCTGGAGGTGGTGGCGGGCTGGGCCTTGGAGTTCCCAAACCTACTGGTTTTGGGAGACTTCAACGTCCATGCCGATGCCGCTCCCTCCTCACAGGCTCTGGACCTAGTGACTTCCATGGCAACACTAGGGCTCTCCCAGTTTGTTTTGGGCCCCACTCATCAAGCAGGCCACACGCTGGATCTGATCTTTGGGGCTGGCATAGATGTGATCATGCTCCCCCCTGTGGAAGTGCCACGGTCTGATCACTACGCTCTGAAAGCCAAGATTGACTTCCCGCCCCTCCCCTGCTCGGGTGGCGAACCTATTTGGGCTCGTCCGCGAAAACAGATGGATCCTGATAGATTCCGACAAGCCTTGCGGGACCCTGCTCCTCCTGGCGACTCATTAGATGACCTTGTTGAGGACTGGAATAACCGGCTCTTGGCAGCCATTGATGAGATCGCGCCTAAGCGCCCTCTGCGACCCCGTCGAAACTGGGCCCCTTGGTTTACTGAGGAGCTCCGGAAAATGAAGCGGGATCTCAGATGGCTAGAGCGAGTATGGCGACGGACTCGTGACGGAGCCTCAAGAACGTCTTATAGGACGCTTATGAAAGCCTATGAGATGGCTATGAAAGCTGCTAAGAAATCTTACTTTGCAGCTTCCATTGCATCCGCTAGCTCTCGCCCGGCACAACTTTTTAGAATAATTAGATCAATAACGTCCTTAGGAGGACAACCAAATTTAAGCACAAATTCGACCCACAGCTGTGAGGCATTCGCAAGCTTTTTTGCGGAGAAAGTCCTATTGCTCCGCCGTAGCCTCCCTGCCAATTTAGATACAGTGACTGAACTGGAGGCCCCTCGACTGACATCAGGTCCAGTGTTGGACCATTTCGATCGGATACTCCCTGCTGATGTGGATAGATTCCTCCAAGTTAGTGGGCCCACCACCTGCCTCCTTGATCCGTGCCCATCTTGGCTGATTAGGGAGTGTCCAGATGTTGTGCGGACCCCCCTGGTTGAAATTATCAATTTGTCCCTTGACACGGGGACATTCCCAGGGGAACTGAAGGAAGCAGTAGTGTGTCCACTCTTAAAGAAAACTTCATTAGATCCCTTAGACCTATCCAATTACCGCCCAGTTTCAAATCTTCCATATCCGGGTAAGATAATTGAGAGAGCAGTTGCTGAACAGCTTGGTAGGTTTCTGGAGGAAACATCGGCTTTAGATCCATTTCAGTCCAGTTTCCGTCCTGGTTTTGGGACCAAGACGGCTCTGGTTGCCCTAACAGATGATCTCCGTAGACAACTGGATCGAGGCGGGTCAGGACTGGTGATCCTTTTAGATTTGTCAGCAGCCTTTGACATGGTCGATCATGATCTTCTGGACCACCGCCTCGCAGACGTGGGGATACAGGGCATAGCCCATAACTGGCTGTGCTCTTTTATCTCTGGTCGGGCACAGAGGGTGGCAC